GGCGGCGGCGGCTCTGAGTGGTCGAGTCAGTCATGAAGTCCGTCTTTTCTTTTATTTTATCTTTCATTTCAATGTTGCCATTTTCGGTGTTCGAAAATCTTTACCTCAGATTCAGATGCAGCGATTAAAATATGCAGAAACCAAGTTTTTAAATAATAAGATTTTATTATTTCTTCATTCGTTTTTTATCCATATCGTTATCAGTTCCGCTATTTTGGATTTTAAAATTTGGAAATTTTGACTTAAGATTCAGTAATCCAAAAACCCCCCAGAACACAATTACAGGAGATATTTGAACTATTTATTTGAATTTACAGTAGAAAATGTTGTTTTTTCTTTATTTTTCAAAGATTATAAGTTTTTAATAAAAAAAAACAATATAGCGAAAAAATCTGAAAAATTCTGAAAAATATTCTAAGATGTCTTAAATGAGTGCCTAAATTAGTTCTATAAAGCTAGCAAAACCAAATCAGATAGAATCAAATCGGACCTATCGAAAGTTTTAGTAGGTACTCATTTTGTACTAAATTGTACCATTAATAATAATTTTGTACCGTGTGCCATTTCGAAAAAAATCGTGGAGCTGTTGGCTTAATATTAAGCTAGCAGGACCAATTCAAAATAAAAGAAGTAAAGAAAAATAATATCAGAAACTAATGCGATTGAATTTGTACTATTTTGTACTGCCAAAAACAATTTTATATTATGTCATTTCCAAGAAAACAATGACGTTGATAATATTTAAGCTGGCAGACCATAAAAAAACAAAATGAGAGAAAAAATTAACACAACTGAATTTGTACTAATTTGTACCATTGAAAGTAAGTTAATATTTTACGTTTTCTCCTTAGAATGACTTTATTAGTATATGTTTACAATCTATTCTACGTCAAATTGTGCACCCTTGAAACATCATTTTATTTTTTTTTTGGTTTGCTAACATATTTTATAGATAATAATAAGGCACGTGTTTCGTGAGAAAAATGTGAGATTTTTTTGTAAAGTTATTGATACTTGTAAGTTCCATAAATTTATAAAAAAACGCTCATGAAACATTCAAATTATTATATCGTCGAAATAATTAGTCGTACAAAAAAAATGTAAGATTTTCCGAGATTAAAAATCCGATT